TGGACCTACGCGTAATGACATTTTTGTGTCACTTAAGCTATAACTATTTGGAAGCCATGTGCTACAAGATATGATTCCGCATTACAACAAAAGATAAATGTGATGTTTCGTTTCCAAGCAGTGTTCTAAAACTTGAATCGAACCAGCCGTATTGACCTAGGTTTTGGTTCAAGCTGGCCATATGATCTGCAATGGCTAGAAATCGAACATAATTCAAAGAAGTGAATACTGTTACCACTTATTACTAGGCTATCCTTATTTATTGGTCAAAATACACTTTATAATATATTTATTATATAATTTAATATAAATTTAATTAAACTGGTTGAATCAGTGACTTATTGATTAAATCAATGACCCAATAACTCTATACCTCAACTGAATTGATAACTGGCTCGAATTTTAAAACACTGTTTACAAGTGACCAATAAAAAAGTTGCGAAATTCCGTTTTGCTGGTTAAAAAATGAACATTGTAAATTGCCAACTGCAATGCAATCATTAACACTTTCCTACCTAGTTGTATACATGTATGTGTGATGCGTTGCCCCTTTAACAATTTTCCATTCATAGCTTCAGTGGGTCGAACACTAAACGACATTACACTACAACCACATTGAAAATTGCATAACATCTCAAAGCGAAGAAAGTGAAAGTCAGCAGTTCCTTTTCATATACTTAAACCATTCAAAGTTTTGCAAGAACAGTTATAGTTTTGTTCATGTCTTTTGAACAAAACCCATATTATAATAGAAAGCTCACCTGAAACTGATTATTATAATATGATCAGGAACTTCAACTAACCATATATCCACCTAACCGGCTTTTACATTGATAGATCTTCTACTAGTCAATATTCTACTCTATATACAAAAAAAAAAATATTGTCTTCTACTCTCAAATCGTTCACCCCAAAACATCCCATCCCAAATGGTTAACTGCAATCTTAAAATTATTCTATTATTTTATATAAACCAAAAAATATGTTTTGATATATGTGTTAAACTAGTGAAGATAAGATAATATAATTGACTTTATTAGTAGATAAGTTAAACATGATATTTATTAGAGAATAACTCTATATAGGAATCAAAAGTATATTAGATAGCATAGGGGTTGCAATTCCTTTTTATTTAATTTTTGAGTCAATTAGTTAGTGGTTAAGATTGTTTGACTGAAAAGCCGCATGTTATAGTGAGGTTGGGCTTCGATCCTTTTTTTTTTTTTTTGATATAAATAAAAATTGAACAGGTAATCTAACACAAATTATCAAAATCTCTCACCACTAAACATCGATCTTATTGTTTGAGTGCTAACTGGCCCAATAGATGGCAAACCGAAAAGTTGGCTGAGTAGGAATGAACTCTGAAGACTAATATGATATGAGACTGACTTCTCACATTGGTTTACCATGAATCGCCTACATTTAGTACATCATAATCTTTATTTCATAAACCTTTTTTTTTCATCAACTTTCAATTCCACTATCTCCTAGCAAAGATGGGAGCGAAGTATGATAATTCTCCATTATAACCATCATTTTTGTCATTTTTTGGCAAAATACATAGGGATGAGATATTATTTACTTATTTTCATCCACATCTTTATATCACAATTTTAACCAACAGTGGCCAAAAGAGAGAAAAATGTAACGATCAGTTAAGATTATGATCTAACGATATTTATAAAAGTATGTAGACTATACATACATCCTATCCCAAATATATCAAAATAGGAATAAGATTTTATGTTCATCTTTTTCATGTCTTCTTTATTTGTTTCTCTCAGATACCGTTAGATCATAATATCAACTAACCTTCATCATTTCTCTCTTCGTTTAAGATTGTGATATAACAGTGTTGAAGAAAAATAGATAAAATTGACATAAAAAAAATAAGTATAATTCCTATCCCATCAAAATATTATGTTTTAGAAGTATTTTCCCAAATTGCTACTATCAAAGCACTATTATTGAGTTTAGCAAGACATTTTTTTGTCACATGGCACATTGCGAGAGTACCGCATTAGGCCCAATAGTACCAATGGACCGATCCCGCTGACACAAATAGAGTTGGCAAAATGGGCTCGACTCGGCGGGCCGACTTGCCTCACCCGTCAAACGGAGTGGGGTGAGTTTGGTGGGTTGATGGTGGGTCGAGACAAGTGAGTGTAAAATAGGCTTAGGCTGGTGGGCCAACCCACTCAACTCAGCAAACAGGTGGGGCAGGCCGCCCACTTTGCCACCTCTACTCGCAATCTACACCCACTGTTTAATATTGTATATTTGTATTTAATGGAATCAATTCAACTGCGAATAAGTCTGCCCATTAATACATTCATTCTTAAAGATCGGTTGATTAAAAAAATTCAAAAGATTCACTTTAATATAAATTGTTAATTCAAAAATAAAAAATTCTTAACAACTGTAATACATTCGCGAATTCAAAAAATATATAATATTCAATTTGAGGTAATTAAAAATTGTTAGGCTGATTCAGTTACAAAATTTAACTTTTTTAACGTTTTGTTCATCGGATTGTGTTTATAAATATTTAATTTTTTATTGACAGTTGAAATAATAAATTTTGATTTAAAAAATTAGTTAATGATTATCATAATACAATCTTGAATTTTCCTAATTCAACCTGCTAAATTTTAAGGATAGGATATTGTAATAATCAATTAAGGTTATTATTAATATTACTACCAATCAATTTTACCGTTAGATCGATTATTTTGATCCAACAGTTGTATTTATTTCAATCTTTATATGATTATGATTCTTCATATTTAATATTTTATATTTATTTTTACCTTTATATGGTTATGATTTCCCATAAATATAACTGTTGGATCAACATATCGATCTAACGGTAAATTAATTGGTAGTTTTATTTTAATTAAATAAAGTGGAACAAGTTAGTAATTTTATTTTAAATCTCTTTTATGTTTTTATCCTTTAACATTTACGGATTTGCAGGGTTATTTTTCAGAAATTAATTAACGGAATAAAAAATAACATGTTAATTATTTTAAATTTTATTTTACGTTGTTATCTTTTAAAAAAATTTACGTTCTTATACGTTAATTAATTTATGAAGAATGATCCTCAAATCACTAAATGTTAAAGGCTAAGAACGCAAAAGAAATTTAAAATAAAAATTATTATCTTGTTCCACCTTATTTAATTAAAAAACAGGTTTAATTAGAAAATAGAAAAATGTATTATGATAGTCATAAATTATTATTTTTTAAAAATTAATATTAATTATTGTAATTTTCAATAAAAAAAATGTTCAATTTTGTAACTGAAGCAGCCTAATAATTTTAAATCACCTCAAAAGAAAAAAGAAAATATTAGGAATAACTTGAACTTTTTTCTCAGCAATTTGATGCTGACGATCCAGCGCTTCAAACATAGCCCAACCTTACTATTACATACTAATGCATCAAGGAACATAAACAAGAAAGAAACCCACAATTTGAATATTTGACCCAAAACCCCCCAAAAAAAGGGGAAAATTTCTAGGGCCCCTGCCTCCACATAGTCCTTTCATTCAATGAACGACACTTGTATAATTTTTTTTTTACTTTTTTTTCTCTCCTCTCTCTTGAGTAGTTGTCACATTTTCATTGATTTGGATCAATGAAAGATTGATGCTCCAGGAGCATCAAAAGTCTTCTCCAAGAAAAAAAGGAAAAAGTTCATCAATGTCCCTGTAGTTTGCTTCAGAATCATTTATAAAACATACCATTTACAAATCACAGTGGCATATGTGATAAGAAAAAACCACAGGGACATAAGTGATTCTGAAATAAACTACAGGAACATTGGTGAACTTTTCCCAACAAAGAAACCAACTATTACTTTCAGAGATCTCCATCTTCTCGGACTTCATAAAATAAAACATTATTAGAATTCATTTAGTCCACTTGTAGGATTTTATTTGATATGTAATACAACCAATTATTAAATATTGAGATATCAAATCCTAATGAAGGAATATAATATTCTACCTACCTTTTTTTCTTATCTAATTTACCTACTCATTTTCAACCTATTGGATCAGAATCTCAAGAACAGAGAGAAAGAATAAGATTCTAATCCAACAGTATTAAAAATGAGTAAGTAAGGTAAACAAAACAAAAAATAGGTAAAATATTCTATAATTTTGTATCCCTTCCACATTCAATCAAAGTTTAAAAGAAAAAAAAAAGCTAGCACAGCAAGAACAGGACAATCCTTGCCCTTACCCCTTCTACCCATCAATCATTCGTTTTATTCACAGATTTTATTTTTTTGGGAATGAATCATTATGATGCTAGATCTTTAGCCAAAAATAGAAAAGCAGCAAACACATTAGCTTTAGGCAAATCGAATATAAATTATCTCCATTCACGCAGCACCTACAAATATAAATGTAACTTTTATGGTTAATACCAGTTTTAAGGAGCTTTGCTGTAATTCTCATCGTTATTTGGTTTGGAAGCAAATTCTTGGATCTATGATAATGTGAAACTCTCATGAGAAGTGGCACAAATGAGCAAAAAGTGAAAAAAAAAAAAAATACAAGTAAAACTCTGCTGAGAAATGTCCCACATGTGCAAAAGAGAAAAATAAAATAATACAAGTAATTTCACTGAAACAATCCCAACATAATAGTTTGCAATGTCCTTGATCATCCTATCCACCTAGCTCCCAACAAAAGAAAAGAGAGAGAGAAAAAAAAAAAAAAAACTCTAGTGTTCAACAGAAACTGTAAGATCAAAAAATAATGAGGCATCAATAATCCTTTCTAATTTCTGACAACTGTACATCATGTCAAATAACCTAGTTGTCATGACAAAGTTCCGGTGTTAGTTTCATTCAGTTACAATGTCAGCCTCTGCATCACCTGAAAACAACAGAAGGAAAAGTTACAACATCATGTAATGTCCTTAAATTATTGACCTAAAAGTGAAAACACCATATCATAAGACAAAACAGTACCAAAACCTTTCTTACTCATCAGGCAAAGATATATTGATGTCAGGGGAAATCCTCTGATCTGAAAACTCTTCAGAACCATTCCAAGTAGCAGCATTAGGTGTAGCATCTAGGTTCTGTTTATCACTTGTAACACTGACAGGTTCTCTCTGGCTTTGATCTGGTAACTGAGACACAGGTATCAGAATGTTTTCACCATCAAGATTAGCTTGTGCGATTGGTCTTGCTGCTGTCACTGTATCTGGACCAGCTGAAGTAGGGGAAGCCACTGCATGTTCACGTTGGTACTTCCTTTTATGGGTCTTGTAACCATTTGGCATGAAGCTTCCCACTACAATCTGAAACCATTGCTAAATAAATTTCCAATAGAAGTCGATGAATTGGTCATAAAAGCAGGATGCACTCTTCATAGTGCTGAAAACTCTCTTGTTTAAAAATATAGAGGACCAAAAATGCGTTAAGATTATCAATCTTATGACTTTCATCCCTTCAGATGGTACATAAAACAGTACAAGTTTCAAAAAAATTTGTCATGCAACATACAAGACAAGCCTTAATTTTATATAGAGTAAATACCCTTTTTAGTCCCTGGCAATATCTACGAAGTTTTTTTCAGTCCCTGGCAATAAAAAAGGACCAAATTGGTCCCTGAAAGTACAAGAAAAGGGCCACTCTACATATTTGGGAGTTGATATAAGGACTAACATGGCCCTTTTTTTGTAATTTCAGGGACCAATTTGGTCCTTTTTTATTGCCAGGGACTAAAATGGACTTCGTAGATATTGACAAGGACTAAAAAGGGTGTTTACTCTTTAATATACTACATAGTGTTTTGAATTTCTCTCACCCTTACCCTTGTTAGATGTTGGGGTTTTATGGAGAGTGGTTTATAGTATTTTGGATGCTATCATTTGTTATGAAACACCGACACTTCAAAAAATCTGACGTGTCGTGTCCAAAACTTTCCGACACTCACTGACACTTCGACACTCCAATATTCGTTGCAAAGACTCAAAAAAAGTTCAAAAGCTACGTTGCGTTGCATTTTGAGTTCCAAATATTAAATTCATTAGATTACGATTATCATTTTATTGAATTTAATATAAACATTTGAGATATCTTATGTTTCTTTGCAAAATTGATGGGTGTTATAAGTTTAGCTTTATTTTTTTGTTAAATTATTGAATACTAAATATAATATACACTACATAAATTAAAAAATATTATATAATATCAAAACGTGTCGAAATTTAACATTTTTTAGAATTAACGTGTCGGTGTGTCGTGTCGTATCTCGTGTCCCGTGTCAGTATCAGGACAACATATCATTTGTGAAATATTCCATAACATCACTCTCAATTAAACCCCGACTAGCGAGGGTGGAGCGAGAGCAATCCTTATAAGCAGTCTTACTCTTGCATATATATGTAAAGAGACTGTTTCTCGAAACCTTGACTTTTTGCGAAATATTTCATAGATGCAGTTTTAAACATTTGTTCTCACTAACATACTTTATTTTGAGATGCAGGTTCTAATTTAAAATCTCACTACAACAGTTGTAAATCACAGTCAGGACAAAAATTTCAGTTCAGGGTCAGTATGATATATGGGGTAAAAAAAGGTTGAAGAATCATGGGTCAGTTTTATTAGTAAAATTGTATTGAATATTAATCCATGAATTTGTCACCCCATACCAAACCGATCCTTATAAGCAAATATTTTAGGAAGCAGTTAGAAAATATCATACTTGGATAGGGCCAGCAGCTGTCAAAAGACCAGCAACACCACCTCCTATCACTCTACCGTCAGGGCCAGCTAGTGAGACACTCAATCCCCCAGTTCGACTTTTTATGCCATTACTGTCAGAGAGTGTGAATGATCCAGACAAAGATAAAATCTCAAATCGACCCTGAAAGTAAATAGTGGATCAAGTTATTGAAGAATTTCAAAAATCAATTATCATAACTGCCTGCATATCAAAAGAGTTATACCACTAACAGGAGAAAATGCAAAACAGCAGAAAATGATACATGACATTTACCTCAGACCAAACCAACAATATTCAGATTTTTGATACAGAGATGGGCGCTTGCAGATAAATAATGCATCAAATAAATGATTCACATCATCATCGTATACTAAATCTAAAACAATGTCTTTATGCATTTCTCTATAGCAAGACGTGGAAAGCACAACTTGAAGAAGCCCATAAACTTTTAGTTGTCTCTTATATATTGTAATACTTAAGGCTATAGAAAAGCTACCACTCAACCTTAACTATTCATTAGTCCATCATAATATTTTTGTTAAAAAACTATATATCTTGCATAACTGAAACTCACCTTCTGGAATGTGTTATATATATATACCACCTTCCCTAAGGGTAAGAATGTGGTATATATAGGTGAGTGTGTAATATTCTAAAATGTGTGAGGTGACATAAGATGGTTTCTGTTAGAGTATAATATAAACCATTAAAGAAGCCCTCATCTAGCAGCTTAAGCTTTTGAGTTGAATTGATTATTTACATGATATCAAAGTCTCGTGTCCCGGGTTCGATCCTTGTCGCCCCCCGCTTTCCCTTGTGGAATTTCTTAGCACAGAAAAATTAGGCCTGATGCATCATCCACCTTTCAAGCCCAACGGGCTCTCTTGTGAGGAGGTATGTTAGAGTATAATATAAACCATTAAAGAGGCCCTCACCTAGCAGTTTAACCTTTTGAGTTTAATTGGTTATTTAAAGTTTCTATATATGATTGTGTGCATGCCTCTGTAAGGGGAATCACATTGCAGTAATGGAAGGTAGTTATTTGGAGAGAGGGGGGAGCTACTCTCTGAAATGGACATTTTTTCATGTATTTATGGGAGTGGGAAGTGGACCACATAAGGGCCCAAACCTCCAATCTAGAACAGATAACTTCTCTAGCTAGTGGATCATGTCACAATTGAGCTGATACCATGATGGGATAAGCCAATTTTGAGCATCTAACCAATAGATAGGGAAGAAATTTTATCCCACCCCCCAGGAGAGACAAACAACAATCACCTGATATAAATGAACCAATTGCTATTGTATATGGCATATCTATATTCTATACTTAGCAGAAGACATAAATAGGCACCCCACGGGATTATTCCAGGGATGATTTAATCACCGAAGGTATAATATCATGGAGAATCAATCAATTTAATTAACACTAGGGAGAAAAAAATAGATTAGATAAATTATTACTGAAGGAGCATTTGGATCTAAGAGACCATGCCTCATAAGTCAATATGCCACCAGAAGAACCAGGTTGGCGGATGGTGACATTAGAGATAGCTCCATTGGCAGAAAGAATGCATATTCCTCTTGGACTCTTCTGGGCAAATAACAAGATCTTTCCAGCAACATCCTGCAAAGTAATAAAGTAAAGATCTTTATCTAGCTCACCAAATGCAACAGATCTGGTAAAATCTCTCATGAAAAATTACAGATTAAAGGCATACTACTATATGAATTTGAAAGGATAACAATGTACACTGGTTTCTGCATTACCTCTCCAGTATAAACAGTCACCACATGCGGTGTAAAATCCCCACCAGCCGTGCTTGCAAACACCTCACCTTCAAAGATTACAGACAGAGAAAGAAATACTCAATATATTTGCTATATACTGGAAAATTCCATACATAGGTTTTAACTTAAATTTTCACATTCAAAGTTAGATGCCCAAGATAAATTCAAAAAAAAAAAAAAAAAAAAAATTCTAGCCATAAAAACTCAAACAAATGTACATACACCAACTTTTAGATTATTAGCCACGATCAGAAAAGTTCATATCTTGCTCACAGATATGAGCCCTAACTTACTTTGAAAAGAAAAAACATATAATTTGTATCAAGCTACCGTTTAAGAAATGCCAAAAAAATAAGAAATAAAAAATCTTTTTCCAATTAGAATTTAGCTTAAATCTCGATCCCAACCCCATGAATACAAAAAGGAAAATTTCTCAAACCCAACATCATCAACTACAAGTACAAGATTTTTGTTTGGTGGGTAAGTCCACATAGTAACCAAACAGTACACCTAGTGATGTCAGCACAACATAAACACCTGAAAAAAAAAATGAACCACTCACCAAAAGAAGCAAGGAGTTGCCAGTTACCAGACCCAGATGGTCTGCCACGACCCCTTTTGTTGGAAAACTCAGAAGGGGAAGTTGGTGACAAAGTGAAACTCGTTGGAGTTGTTGGAGTTGTTGCACTCTTCTTTTGGTATGTTAATGTTAGGTTCCCTTCTGAGTCATATTTTCTTGGCCTCCCTCTCTTCTTTTTACCAAACAAATCAAACCCCGTTGCAGGTGTTGTTGTTGTTGGTGTTATTGCAGTTGTTGAGACAGCAGGAACAGTTGCTGTCCCTGCAGTAATCCCCACGTTCATGTTCATAACCTGAGGCACTGAGGTGATAACAACTTGTTGTGTGGGTGGTGTATATGATGACCCTGCAGGAACAGCACTGGTCACAGTTTCTTCCATGAAGGGTGGTGTGTATGTTTCAAAGATGAAGAAGAAGAAGAAAAAGATGAAATTGGAAAAGGAAAAGAAGGGTGCTTTTGTTCTTGTATTTCCAGAAATGGAAGTTTGAAAGGGGAGAAAAGTGAATGGTTAAGTTTTGAAACAATGGCGCCAGAAGTAGAAGGAGTAGAGAGGGTGTAGCCTTTTTCTCTCTTTTTAATCTTTGAAGGGCAGGAATTATGGATACTCTCTCTCTTTTCTCTATGCATTTGCATTAACGGAGGATAATGAGGCTGGGATTGGAAACTGATATTTTATATTATTTTATTTTATTTTGATATTTGCATAAAGCAAAGTTTAAATATTAAATATATGTTAAGGGTCTCTTGTAATCCTCGAGGATAATCACCATACACTATTGTCCTATGCCCAAATTATCCCCCCTAATGGCCCAACGTGATTTTCTTCCCTTGTTTTGTTTTTTTTTTATGCTCTTATTTTTAAGCGTTATTATACCAAAAAAAGGAGTTTAATGTGAGTTAATGAAATATTTACTCATTCGTAAGTGAACGACTATCAAATAAAAAATAAGAATGATTAAAATTCGAAAGTAATGTTTCGGTTAATATACTCTTAATTAATAAAAAAAATAAAAGTTGCGATCTTACTATAAGTTTTGATTTATTGGAAAGTTAAAGTGATTGAAATCGGACTAAAGTGTTATACTTGATTTGGTGCGATTAATTATAAAGATTTTGCCAGCTTTTGAAAAATTCAAGTTAGACAAAAAGAAAAAAAGAAATCGAAATGTGACTCTATGACACTTGAGATAATGTATTTAAAAATGTACGCATTAATTATTAACTCAAAATATTTGTTGTGTTGTATCAACAAAATATATATATATATATATATATATATATATATATATATATATATATATATTTATATTTGTTGTGCTAATAAGTAGTATTTGCACTCATTCTAAAAACTCATATCTCTCTCACCAAAGTTGAAATATCAAACTTTGAATTTAAGGGCATGTCTAAATTCTATTTTTAAAGTTTTTTAATTTTTAAAATAAAAAAATATTTGATAAGGCCTGTTTTATAAAAATAATTCTAAAAATTATAACTGTTTTAAAATTTTTAAAATAAAATTTAAAAATATGTTTGAGTTATTTTGTTTTGTGTTTTTTTTTTAACTTTGAAAACAAAATATATATATATATATATATATATATAACACATATGTTATTAATTCTTCTACAAAATTGTTTAAAGAAAAAAAATAGAACATAATCAATCAGGCACTTAATTTCTTAAACTACACTAATTTTTTTTTTCAAAGTTTACTAAATTCATGTTACTAACCACAGGAGGGGGGATCACTTCCATAAGGGCATTATAGTAATTGAAGATTTTTGCAGCTGTCTTTGATTAAAATAATAAAAAGTAGTAATTATAAGAGAGTTTCGGGAATTCTTGGAAACGAAACTTTCTGATATTAAAAAAATGCAGTCAAACTGGTGCTCTTCTGTTAAAGCCATAAATTATTGGCTTTTTGTTTAAATTTTTATCTGAGTAAAATAAAAAGTTCGCGCCCCTCTCTCACGTTTCCGAACTTACATAAATTAGAGTCCCAATTAATAATTTTTTGTTTCTATAATATTCCAAAAGATTTGTGATATGATACGAGCACCTTTACGTTTTGATATATATTATTATATAAACCTGTCACGAAAAACGCTTCACTTTCCAGGTTTTCTTGCACAGTATCCGATTTTATTCACGAGGTTCTTCCTTCTTATTTAGCAGAAAATATGAAATTTGTTTATTCATTTTTTTCTTATGCGGCGTTTGGCAGGATTTTTGGAAAACTATTTTTTTTTAAATTTTTAATTTTCGGATATTATCGTAAATTGAATATAAAAATTATATTTCTAAAAATTGAGATTCGCGGATAAAAAAATTTTCTCCTCTACCAAACGTCCCTTTAGTACCCAATAACAAAAAAATTCACTTTTCTCTATGACCTGAAAAATTAATTAATCAATTCTATCATTGTAAAAACCTATTTCAATTCAAAAATTTAAGTTTATAAATGAGGTTATATTATTCTTTAATATGTCTTCTCACATAAAATTTATTGTACTTGAAAGATAAACAATACACAAATACACTTATTTGTGCTAATAAATTTCATAATATTTAATTTATTAATTAAATGATAGGTGGTGAGGATCAAATTCGTGATCACTTAATTATATAAGCTCTAATATCATGTAAAAAATCATTTCAACCCAAAAACTTAAGCATGTGAATGAGGCTACATTAATTATTTATACTTTCTCTAACAATCTTATGGGAAAAATGTTTCTGCTGCAATTTTTCCTAAACGACGTCGTTTTGGTATTGAAATCTTAAAAAATTATAAATATAAAGACTATTATAACCTTGAAATAAATTAAAATTACAAAAATACCATGATTTTCGTCCCAAAACGACGTCGTATTCGGCTTACTGCAGATAACTTATCTGCAGTAACTGCAAAAAAAGCGAACCTCAATCCTATTTATGAAACACGATATAAATGACTAATAGGCAAATATCATACTTTGAAACCTATATTTTCCAATACAAATTTTAAATTAATGATATGGATTTTATCAAATTAATTGTGATGATATAGTATTTTTATTTGAAGATGATTGATATTTTTATGAAAATCAATTACATCTAAATAATTGATTTTTTATTTACCAAAAAATAATTAATTTTTCATTGTGAAAGGATAAATGGCTTCGGCGCACTCTAATAAACATACTTTTTAAAGTATAATGTTACACAATCGCTTCTTGATTTTATTTTTTTGACAAATCGATCAATTTTTTTCTCCGTGCATCATACGGGTCATACTACTAGTATGAAATCATTTGTTTTGTAAGAGTTAAGACATATCAATAAGTAAGTTTAGATCTTTCCCTTAAAATGTTTATAGTTTAAAATTATCAGAATACGTAAAGAGTAGAATAATTTTAATTAGAAATAAAAAAAGAAAGCTCAACATGCATGGGTGAGAGACGATTCATGCATTTCTATGGTTTTCAGTTTTCATAATTGGCGTTTGTATTGTGAACCCCAAATAACAACGAGCATGGAACATGCAACTCTATTTACTTTAGCCAGATTTTGTGCAATACAATTTGATAGAGAAACTGATGGAAGTGGAAGCTTTAATAATAAAATGGGTGCTCGAATCAATTAGCTTTCATATATGATGATGATATAAAAAAAATGCAGATAAATCCATATTTGGGTCTGAAAAAGCAAACAGAGAATATAAAAGCTGTCGGTAAGACCGTTGACGCCACTGACAAAACACGCAATCCATTACAATCAATTAAAATTAATAACTATTGTACCAAAAATTAAAAATTAAAACTAATAAGTAATGGCACGAGGATTTATTTTTTCCTTTTCCTTTATTAATTTTTATTTACAATTTTAATCCCATATGATCCATTTTTATTATGGAAAAAGGGTTCTTGTTGTTTTATTTTTTTAATATATTTAAAATCGAACACAGTATTTGTTACTCACTATTCACCCATTTATCCACTGGCCTAGCCCTATTGGCTCAAAGAGTTCTTGTTTTGAAAGAAAAAATAATAATGTGACAGAAAAAAAATTCAAAAATAATAAAAATTTTATTAAATGTGAAAAAAGGGAGTACCTTGGTAGTATCAAAGTTTTACTCCTTGTTTTCACCAATGAATTTTTTTCCTCCCTCCAATTTACCATTCATCTATTGACAAATATTAATTAAGACTGAAGTACTAAAAAAAATATATATTAATTAAGACTTTGTTTCATTTAATTGAAATACCATTTTACATAATTGTTATGGAAATTAGGAAAATGGATTCATGATTGAGTATACCACGCATATAGATTGAAGATGTATGTGTAATACTATTTATTAATTTTGTATAGCTGTATACTTTTTTAAATAATTAAAACAATCTTCATTTACTTTTACGATATTTTTAATAATAGTTATGCATGTTATTTAATTCTAATTCATTATTGAAAAGATACATATAAAAGTTTTAAAAAAATTATTCATTAATTATAAGGCCCTGATTTTTTAAGAATTTCTAAATCGCAATCAACTATCAATTTATCACCATATTGTCATTTCTTAGTTTTTAAGTAGGGAAAAAAACTTTTCATGTAACATGAGAAGTCTCATCTCCTATCATTTTCATTTTGATATTCGTATCAATCACTTTTATATTTTTCGTTTTTTATTTTAAAGTGAATCTCACCCCTTTTCATATAACATGAGAAATTGCAAGCTTTAAGTATTGTAAATACTTAAAATACCGAGCCTGATTTTTTCCGCATAGTTGAGTATGGTTGTATTTTTTGTTTTATGTGTTATAATAACGGTGAAATTTAGTTCATTTTATTTTTTAGAAAATAGTATTCAGATCAACTTAATGCATATTAATTAAGTAACTAACTGATATAGTCAAAACTCAGAAGGGGAGATTATTTACATTATAGAATTAGAAAATTTATAATATATTCTTTACAATTCACAGTACAACAATTAATATCCTATGCTTTTCAAATTATTTCTCAAAATTTCAAGTGGCATAATGCAACGTGGGATTGAATTTACCGAAACGAAAATACTCTACAGGGATTGAATTTCTTTGGATGAATATGAAATAATGTTGAATTATTATTAGTAACAATAAATTTTATGCCTTTTAAATTTAGAAGAATTCCAAAAGATTTCATCACACGAATTAGCATTATTTAAGGTGTTAAATATTTTTTATAAAATATATTTAATATCACTTTTTAATTTAATATAAAAATAATATTTTTAATTTGGTCAAATTATCAAAATAATTATTGTAAGTTATATTTTTTTGGGAAAATTAAGAAATAAAAATGAAAATCAATTATCAAATTAATATTATTGACCATAAATCTGGCTTTTTGAAA